AGGATCTCCTCAGTTGCTAATAGCAATTCCCACCTTGGAGTTTACAAAGACTTATGGGTAGAAAAGCCACACTAAGTAATTTACTACACTGCAGCGTGTTACTCTTTTCAGCAATGACATTTACAACTTGGCATCTTATTCATAATTACATAAAAGGATAGCTGTCTGGACAGATGCCCATATGACAGTGTAGCCTACAATGGGGACTGTTGGCCTCCCAGAATGGAAGGGTGTGTCCTCAGCCTGAAAGTGATCACTAAGGCGGTCATTGCACGTGGGTGTCAAGGGGCTGCTTCATATGGCACCTGCTGCCTCTCTTCCTCTTACTTACCCAGGTGACCTCATTTGATGAAGTCCCTCTTGAAGGAAGTGTAAGCCACTTCTACTAAACCTCTGCTAGGTGCTTTATCAACGAGGAATCATAAATAATATTAAAGCACCTGAAATTCCTATCTTAGGACAAGAATTCCTGTCTTAGAACCTTTCCTGGTTCGCTCCAGGTACTCCCTAAAGGACAAGGAAGGTACTTAGATTTATTTGTTGTTGTTGTTGTTATGTGCCGTCGAGTCGGCCCCGACTCATAGCGACCCCTCCTTGGGTTTCCGAGGCAGTATCACTACGGAAGTAGGATTGCCCAACCTTCCTTCCGAGGAGTGGCTGGTGGGTTTGAACCGCCAGCCTTCTGGTTAGCAGTCAAGTGCTTTAGCCACTATGCTACCAGAGCTTATTAAGTCAAGGTTAGGACCCCACCAAGGAGCTCTGGTGGTTCAGTACTTAAGGCATTTGACTGCTAACCAGAAGGTTGGAGGTTCAAACCTACCAGCCACTCTTTGGAAGGAAGACAGGGCAATCTACTTATGTAAAGATTTACCACCTTGGAAACCCAGAGGGGGTTGATATAAGTTGGAATCGACTTGATGGCAGTGAGTTTGAGGGCCCCACCAGGGAGCCTGGGTGATACAAGTGGTTTGCATTTGGTTGCTGACCTAAAGGTTGGGGGTTTGAATCCACTAGCAGGCTTGGCAAACTGCTTCCATAAAGATTACAGCCAAAGAATCCCTATGGGACAGTTCTACTCTATAACACGTGGAATTGCCGTGAGCTGGAATTGACTTCCTGGCAGTGGGTTTGTTTGGTTTAGGGCTCTACCAAAATGAAAGAACTAGGGTTTTGCAGGACACTCTCAATGTCCCTGAGCTTTGCCTTCCCAGCACATTCCTGTTCTCAGTGAGTGCTCTCTCTCTGGCAAGGGTGGTGACATGGGCACACAGGGAGCAGCCATCAGTGGCAATCAGTGGTGTGGGAGCCATGACTTCTGACCAGGGTCCACAGGGCAGGGAGGGAGGCATTTGGGCTGCTGCTGCAGAATAGGTGGGAATTGAATGACCTAGAAAAACCAGAGAGTAAACAGCACATGGTGGCTTTCAGTGGAGAAGGAATGACTGACTGACTACTGAAAGGCTGTGTGAGGTGCAGGGAGGTCCTATAAAGAGCTATGAGTGTATAAACTTTGTTCCCACCTCCACTGCTGACTGCCCACTTCCTTGCCCCCACATTTTCTGTTTTTAATTAATGTTCCTCCTTTTTCCTTGGGAGCTTTGGTGGCGTATTGCCTAAGGCATTTGACTGCTAACCAGAAGGCTGGCGGTTCAAACCTACCAGTCACTCCTTGGAAGTAAGGTTGGACAATCTACTTCTTTAGAGATACTACCTTGGAAACCCAAGGAGGGGTCGCTATGAGTTGGATCCGACACAATGGCAGTGAGTTTGGTTTTTGGTTTCTCTTTTCCTTTGTCTCAAACTTCTTGCTTTGAGCATGAATCCCTTTTCTGTTGACTTGGAAATGCCAAAGACCCAGGTGAGTGCCTAGAATTTACTCCGAGAGGTGATAGCATCCTCCTGAGAAAAAACTAAGAATCAAAGAGGAACCTGATCTTGGCAATTTTGTCTGCCTCAGGAGTTTCTTTAATTGTAGTGGAATTACCATGTTCATGTAGAGAACTTCTCTTAAAATTTGTATTTGGCCAAGCTTCTTGTTCTGCTCCAAATTCTATTTGTCTGTCATCTTTGACCCTTTGTGTGGCTCCTGGAGTTCCTGTGTGAGTAGCAGGAGAGCCCAAATCTGCCTCCTTGGAGTTCCTCTCCCTCCAGAAGGGGAGTCAGGATTAATGGGGAAAGCTTGCTGGGCTTTCAAGTTAAGTGGACCAAGGTTCTAATCCCAGCTCCAACACTTATTTGCTGTGTGACTCGAGCTATTGGTTTAAACCTTTCTAAGTCTCTGCTTCTTCATCTAAAAATGGGAATAACTTGACACATTGGGCAGTTAGAAATAAATTATTGCCTATACAATGCTGGATGCTTAAAATCCATTTTTTAAAAAAGAATGCTTCTATGTGGTCATGGTGGATACAATTGAAAGTATCCTGGGGCTATGAGGATAAGATCTCTCCTTCTTTCATAGCCCTGTCAATGTCACAAACCTCCCAGCATGCAGCCTGGAGGTTGCCCTCCCCCCCCCCCAAAAAAAAAAAAAGAAAATGATAAAACCCAGTCATCAAGGAGTCAACTCTGAATCATGGTAATTTCATGTTTGTCAGAGCAGAACTGTGCTCAATGGCTGATTTTTTTCTGAAGTAAATTACCAGGCCTTTCTTCCAAGGTGCTGCTAGGTAGACTAGAACTTCCAGCCTTTTGGTTAGCAGCTAAGCATGTTAATTATACCACCCAGGCTGCCCCATCTCAAGGCCAACGGCCCTTGCCCCTCACCCTCCTTCCTTGACAGAACCTGCCATTACAGTTTCTTTGCTTTAGTTGGTGTTGCTTTCTTGTCCCTGCCTTGTGAGGTCTCTGCTCCACCTTGAGCTAAGAGCTACTTGAGACCCTGAATGTGGGAGCTTGGGGAACAGGAGATGTATCAAGAAAAGGAAGAAAGAAGGGAGTATGTCCATGGGGCTTCCCCAGCCCAACGTGACCGACCCTAGATGGCCCCATTGTGACTTCTTGATGACAGCAACTTTCATTCTTAGACTTTCTTTCCTGGGACACAGTGTCCTTCCATATGGTCACTATCCGTTCTCTGCTCTGTGGCCTGTGTCTGTTCTCCGTTCCTCAGTTTAAAGCATGATTGCAGGAGACCAGGAAGGGTTACCATAGGGGCTTCCTCAATATCCAGGGTCCATCTTTCCTGATTTCTAAGTTGTCGTTGTCATTGTTTTTCAGTGTAGGAAAGAAAGCAGTCATTTCACTCATTGTGTAAATGATAGAGATGGGCTGTGAAAAGCCAGGCAGGCCTCAGGGCTCACATGTGCCTGGGTAGACTCATTTCTCTGTACTGCCTCCCCACATGGGTCAAAGAAGGCCCACTCTGCACCCTCTCACTTTCCTCAGGCCTGAGCAGCTGGATTTTTATCTACTGTAGGAAATTTTAGTTGAGTAAATTTCCAGAAACCTCATGTAGAGTGTCAACTGATGTTTTGTTTCTGCGTCACAAAGGAAAATAGAAAAAAAAAAAAAAAAACAACAAATAAATGAATCAGTTTTTCTTGAATTATAAGCTGTGATTTCTTCATAAACTAGAGACTGACTATTGCATTCCACAATGTTTCTGGGCATTGGCTGTATCCTAAACCCTGCCCTGTGACTAGGTGGGGGCTGAAATGCCTGGGCTGTGGTCCCTGCCCTCAGAGCTTCCCCTTTGCCTGGGCAGCTTGTCCTCAGAGAACTGTAATGTTCTGTGGCTGCCCAGGTGGGAAGAGACCAGTAAAGAGCAAAGGTGTCGGGGTGTTGTTACTTTGACGCACAGCCATGCCCTTCACCTCTCCCTACCTGCCCATACTTCAAGGCCCAGCCCAAGTGCCCCTCTCCCATGAAGTCTTCCTTCACTGCTTCAAGCCTTAGTGAGTTCTCTCCTCTCCAAACTCTGGATTCCTGTAGCACTGTACAGCTACCCCTGTAGGGTATTTCCATGTATTGTCTCATCTTGCCAGCATTACAGCCTCGTGAGACACAGGATATCATCCCCATCTAACAGATGAAACAACTAAGGTTCTAGGAAGTCAAGTCACCTTCCCAGAGCCACAGAATTAGTTATCAGCAAAACTGAAACTTGAATGCATGTTTTCTGACTGCCAGGTCAGGCATTCTCCTTAAAAGCAAGTTCTTATTCTATTTCCTTCATCATTTAACTCTATGCCCCCATCTTTGGAGCTCCCATAGCCCCTCTTCCATTTCATGTTCCAACACTAGTTCTTGTCTCTCTTTGAGAGCAGGACCCCAGTCAGCCTGGTCTTTGGTGTCCCCTCCTGACATGGACACCATAGGAGCTCAGTCCAGTGTGGTTGGGTGAAGGGGTGAGCTGATAATTAAGCAATGCCTCCCTCTGTGTGCCTAATATCTGCTCCCCTCCTTTTCCTCTCACTCCTGAATCATATGGAGGCATCAGAAACAAACAGCTCTTGCAAAGCAGGTAATTGTGAGACTGAATCATTATGGCCAATGTGATATTTTAGACAATAGAGTAAACATATAGTGGTGTCCGATGTCTTTTAGCTATTTCTGAGTCAGCATCTTGACACATATATGGGTTTGTAGAATGTACTAATAATAAGGGTTAAGAAAAAGACATTTTTTCCCCCTTCTCTCCTGTTTTTTTTTTCCTCTTCTCCTTAGTAGAAACACCTGAATGCTTTGGGTTTTAAGTAGAATAGTCATCATGTGTTATCCAAACTGGAGCATGAAAGAGCACACTGTTGACATTTGTTACACCAGTACAATAGGCATAAACTGGGATGTATGGTCACCTAATTTTAAATAAAATCTGTGACTGCAGTTAAAAGGAACAATATGTGTAGCATGGGTCACCATAACTTTGCATCGCTCAGTGATAACAATGACAGGCCAGTGCTCTTTCTACACCCTCCATTTCATTTTCTGTCCGGGGCTGAGCCTACGAGGATGTGTGTCTGGGCCTCATTATTGTCTTTTTCTTTCCTACAGAGATCCAGCAGATCATCCAGTTGGACCTAGACCTAAAGTATAAGACCAACATCCGGGAGTTGTTTGAAGAGTTTGACAATTTCCTGCCAGGTGCTGTCATTGGCATAGCTAGAGAGATGCAGCCAGTGTACAGGTATGTTGTAGCTATGGGGGAGCAGGCTGCAGGCCCCTCCTCAATCCCTTACCCTCTCCCTTCTGCCGTACGTGGCAGATATGAATTTATATCTTTGCGAACTCCCTCAGCTGTTAACCAGAAGGTTGGGAATTTGCATTCACCCAGAAGCATCTTGGAAGAAAAAGCTGATGATCTGCTTCCAAAAAATCAGCCGTTGAATCTACTCCGACATAATGGGGTCACCATGAGTTGGAGTTGACTCAATGGCAACTGACTGGTTGGAATCTTTTTGCATTTAGTATCTTAGGAACATGTTTGTATTTTTTGCTTGTAGTTAAGAGTATGGACAGGTGGGTCTGGTCCTAAAATGTGGATGCTACCTCATTATTTGGGATTTTGTGACATTTTCCTTCTGGAAAGCCTACTTGTTTTGGTTGTTGGCTCTGGTTAAGCTCAGAATTTTAAAATCTTGGGTGATGTCTTACAGAGGAAGGACCAGGATATAGATTTAACTTCCATGCTATGATAAACCACGCTTCCTTGACCTCAGAGTCATGAGAGTGCCCCCTCGTTTATATGTGTGAGATGGGTTTCTCAGTAGTATTGTAAGAAGAGAAAGGCAGCACAGCAACTTTGGACCACAAATGGGCATTACCTGACCAAGGTGAAGAAACACATGCTGCATGATGTAGCATTTCATTGCTATGTGTGTAACATAGAGAAACTCCAGCACCTGTGAACCAGGAGACATACTCAAAAATATTCATTGCAGCATTGTTTATTAGTAGCCCCAAACTGAAAACAACCTAAATGTTCATAGACAGTGTAATGGATAAATAAATGGTATTGCATTTATCCAGTGGAGTACTATCAACAACAAAAACGGGCATACTGTAGCTATGGTAATAAATAGGGAAGACTGAACTGTAATCCTTATGGATGTACATACTAGTAGTAAAATTAAAAGGAAAATCAAGGGAATAGTGATCCAAAGGCCTGCTTGGCAGTTACCTGTGGGGGGTAGGGTGGGGAAGAGACCACAGGGTAAGGGGTGCCTCTGGAGTGCTGCAGTGCTGCATTTCTTGACCTGGGTAGTTGTATACCCTTTACATCCTTTTGCATGTAATATATGTTATACAACTAAAAATAAACAAATAAAGCCAGAAGCCCCTACTGGCTTTTTTTATTTTTTTATTTTTGAAAAACCCCGATCCCGTGGCCCTGTGTCTAGAGTTGGCTGTTGCTGACTCTTCCTCCTGTGGGTCAGAGCCAGAGCTGCCCAAGTTTGCTCAGAAAGAGCTGAGATTTCACTGTCCTCTGGGCTGGCCTGTTCTTTGTTCTCCTTATGGACCCTTAATACTGGCTCCCTGTAGACATTCTTGGAGCCAGGCCCAGTCTTTGGAGAGCTGCAGGGCATAGGCAGCTAGTGACTCAAGAGCATGCATTTCCCCTAAGAGGAAGGAGAAGAGGTGACAGCCACAGCTTGGTGGTGGCTATTTGCAAGACCCAGATCACATAACAGGAAATTCCTGCAAGGCCTCTGAATGAGCTGATAACTCCTGGGGCCTTACTGAATCCTCTCACAAGTTTCCCCAGAGTCACCAGGGCCTGTTACTCCAAGGTAGGGGGCCAGGAGGAGGGGTTTGGGCTACAGCTGCCATTTTAACTTGTAGCAGTCTCCCTGCCTCAGTCCCCACCTTCATATAAGGTGTGTGTTAGGTTTGGGATACTTGATTTAACAAAGGGGGGTGATAGAAGGGGCACTCAACCCAGAGTGGTGAGTCCCAGCTTGGCCACTACCCTTGGGCCCTTGGTTTCCCACCTGAGAATGAATAAGGGAGTTCAAGAACCCTGTTGTTGTTGTTGTTGTTATGTGCGTCGAGTCGGACCCAACCCATAGCGACCCCTCCTTGGGTTTCCGAGGCAGTAACACTACGGAAGTAGATTGCCCCATCTTCCTTCCGAGGAGTGGCTGGTGGGTTTGAACTGCAAGCCTTCTGGTTAACAGTCAAGTGTCTTAGGCAGTATGCTACCAGAGCTCCCTTCTTGTGTATAAGAGTCAGTGTATCTGGGAGCTCTGGTAGTGAAGTGGCTAAGGCACTTGACTGTTAACCAGAAGGCTTGCAGTTCAAACCCACCAGCCACTCCTCGGAAGGAAGATGGGGCAATCTACTTCCGTAGTGATACTGCCTTGGAAACCCAAGGAGGGGTCACTATGAGTCAGGTCCGACTTGATGGCACATAACAACAACAACAACGTATCTGGGATGGAAATGGACATTCTCAGCAGGGTGTGGAACCAGAAGGAACCAATTCAAAGCCCTGCTCTAAACTGAAGCTGCTTGTCTGCTCTCGAGCTCCTAATGGCGCTATATAAGGTTTGTGTTCTTGGGATATTTAAACCAGGCTCATTATTAAATGCAGTTAGAGTACTGAGGCCTTCAAGCTCTGGTTAGGAATCTTTCGAATAATATAAATGGAAACTGGGAAACCTGATCACACTTCCTTTAAACAGTATTGGCTGGAATTTATATTTTCTGTAGAGTTTTATACATAGTGAAATTTGACTCAATTAAATTGTCTGGCCTTCTCAAAATAAATCTCTGAAAGATTTTAAATTCCAAATGAAATCAAGTGTTTTTCTCACCTTCTGATCTTCAATTACCATTATGTGCTATGAGAAAGATGCTGCTTGTGCTGCAGAGTTGCCCAAACCAAATCAAACTCACTGCCATTGAGTCGTTACTGACTCATTGCGACCCTTTCTTGGGTTTCCAAGGTGGTATCTCTATGGAAGTTGATTGGAAATTAATTCCCCAATCTTCCTGACAAGGAGTGGCTGGTGGCTCTGAACTGCCAGCCTTCTGGTTAGCAGGCAAATGCCTTAGGCATTACGCTACCAGAGCTCCTGCAGAGTTGCTAGTAGAGTCCCCAAAGGGCCCTGTTTGCAGGGTATGAACACTCAGCATCAACAGAGATTCAAACCCCTTTACACGTGCATGCCCGCCCTCCTCCTCCCAGCTGAAATGTTTCTAAAGGCCTCTGATAATTAAGTCTGTAAATGAAGGCCCTGCACTAATATGTGCCCTACTGGCTCTGGGTAATTGCCTTTTAATATTTGCAGTTTCCTGCTGGGGCTGGGAATGGCTTGGTGCTGACAGGGGCCAGGCAGAGAACAGGAGTGTGGCTTTTTTGCCTTTTCTAAGAAGATTGAAGACTCCAGTGGCCTGAACGCCTGGTGTTATTAAGTTCCCTGCATCTTTGGAGTCTGCACCTAAGGAAGGAAGCAGAGGTGGGTTGAGAAGAAAGAGGGTGGAGATAGAAGGGAAGTGAGAACAGGTTCTCCATCAGTGCCCACAGAGCTGAGTCCTTCTCTTGAGCAAGCCCTCATCCCTTTTCTCCTTGGACTTGGTCTGGGGCCAGTATAGAGTAGGGAACCCCCACCCTGAGCACCTACCCTCTTGATAGAGCATCTTGTGGAACCCGGCTGCCAGGTCTTCCTTGCTTAGAAAGATGAGATGGGCAAGTGTTTTTTTTTTTTTTTTTCTTTAATGGCATCTATGAGAAGAAAGGAAAAGAAAAAGCAACAGCAGCACACAAGCAAAACTTGACTGGTTAACTGAGTGCATTTTGATCTGGAAGTTCACTAAACAGGAATAAATTTGAATCTCCCCAGCTGCATTTTTTTTTTTTTTATAATCACTGGTCTGACAGTTCCTTCACTTCAAAAGGGCACATATTAAGTCATTTTTATGGCTATTTCCCCTCTATTGTGTGCCATGAATGTGAGCTGCTTGGAGGGGGGTTGGCGGAGAATGAATTCCTCACTCCACATTTGACAAACAGTTTTATTTTGGAATTCCCCCCACCCCCACCCAAACAACCACTGAACCGGCTGTGATTTCTGTAGAATGATGCAGAAATCACAGGATGTGACAATAGTGGTAGAAGAACTTTTACCTCTTGGGTCCTTGTTTGGATCATGTTTGAGTCACATGACCTTTTTCATATGGAAATTGTGGGTCAATTGTCATCCCTAGTGGAGCCTTACCCTTCCTTCCTCGACCTTCTCTATTCCTCTCCCTCAGGGAACTAGACCTCTGGACAGGTCCTCATTAATGACTTGTTTACTTGGGACAAGTGGGTCGAAAGGAGTGAAGGGTCTAGTGCCTTCTTTGTAAATGGAATGACTTTTATAAATAGACAACTGTATTTTGCAATCATGTGTTAATCCAGGGCACCATTTTGAATTTGTTTCCTTATGAGTATATTGGAAAAGTAAAAGGAAAATTTTGAAAATTTTTTCAGGTATAGCCTGTAAATATTACAGAGGTGTATCAGCAGGTAAAGCAGCACTCAGGTTGTACTCGGAAGTCTGGAATACGATCCTGGCCTTCCACAGATAATCCTTGTGACCCATTACAAGTCACTGTATTCTCTGACCCACAGTTTCTTTACCTGTAAGTGGGGATCCATATACTTACTGCATAGAATTACTGGAAAACTCAAATGAAATAATGTCCATGAAAGTTTTTTGTGTGAGAGAGCCTTTCCTCACTCCCTCCCTAAATCTTCATAATTCCTTTTTGTGTTGTTTTTTTCCAAATGATTTGTTCTTCTAGACACCAACTGCTCTACCCCTCCCCCTATAGTATCCCCAAACCAAATCAAACCCATTACTAGCCAGTCGATTCTGACTCCCAGCAACCCTATAGAACAGAGTAGAACTGTCCCAGAGGGTTTCCAAGGCTCTAATCTTTACCGAAGCAGCCTGCCTCATCTTTCTTCTGTGGAGCAGCTAACCAACCTTTGGGTTAGCAGCTAACACTTTAACCTGTTTAAGTATGTTCCAAATATTGCATAGTATATACTTATAGTAAGAAACTCTGGTAGAGCAGTGGTTAAGGCATTTGGCTGCTAACCAGAAGGTTGTTAGTTTGAACCTACCAGCTGTTCCATAGAAGAAAGATGAGGCGATCTGCTTCCATAAAGATTTATAGCCTTGGAAACCCTATGGG